TATATTCCATTTTTATCCCTTTAGCCTCATGAATATATTGAAAGCTCTGCTCAGTTTCTTGCCAATCAACTACCTTTTCTCGAAAACGCTGGCTCTCTGATTTCCACCTTCTCCCATGCTTTGGCCCCCTAATTCTTCGTGTTGTTAATTGTCTGATGCTTTCAACAGAAGACTTTTATATTTTGTCCAATTTTGGGGTCATAGTGGGAGAGTTAGTCCAAATTACATAGTTCACTTTTATCAGGAGTGAATTCTAGAAAGTTTATAGTACAGAAGAGAAAATGTGATTAGTAAACTCCACTTAATGTTCTCATCCTTCCGGTTAAACGTGGTGCATATTGTCTTTTTATATGTCACAGGAAAGTATGGTACTGGTCATTATAAGCAAATTCTAGACGGTATCTGCAAAACCGAGGACATCTCTCACTTTCACTAGTCATTCTGAATAGTACCTGCATAATACAGGCATCCTTTTGAAGACAAGCTCAAGAAATTACAAAGGAGCTCACAGTACCTCTGCCTCTTTTTCTTTTCTTTTTTTTAATCTCCATCATCTCTTAACAAAATGAAATCTAGGATTTTGTTCAATTAGACTTTGTCAGGAAACTCTTCTTTGGAGAGTAGTTATTGTTAATTTCAGGGTCTTGTTATTGTGAACCAGACATACTTATCTAGTTAATACAAGACATAAGGACATCTAACAAAACTTCCCATTCAGTGCTGAAATGATGCAAAGCACAGCCCACATAGGGTGAACTTCTGAACATTCTGGGCCATGTTTGCGGGAGTGGGTGCAATAACTGGATCCTTAGTAAGGTTTAGGGGACTCTCGGGAACATGGGCTATACTGGATTGCTTTCCGTTGATTGAGTTTTTTGAAACCCTTTTCCTTGGGCTAAGAAAGATGAAATTCTACCATTGCGAATAATGACACAAACTTCCTTTAACTAATATCCTAAATTTCCTAATTTTTTTCCATAATATTCACATCAGGGAGTGAATTATTTCTCAATAACTAAAATGAATCAATGAATAAGTAAACCTCCTCTTAAAAGGCTTCATTCTGAGAGACAAAAATTGTGGCAGAATTTTTTTTTAATGTGCAGTTTCATGGAGCTTTTGTTGATTTCACAACCCTGCTGTCTGCCTGTGAGTCCCATGCTGCCTCTTTGTGAGTTACTATAACCAAGTTGTCACATAAAATGTGGTCATATTATAAGAATGTTTTGTAGGTAAGTGGAAGAGAATAATAAAACATTGCTATAATTTGTGAGCGTCAGTTCCTATTCCAGGCAATTAATATTTATCATATATAATCTTCACAATAAACATCAGTATTGATATTAGTGTTTTTTTTCCACAAATTACAAACTGCATTTCAGAAAAAAAAAATTACATTCCTAAGTTCAGCTAATAGTATTTGTAGTATATTTTACTATACTCGTCCACGTTGATTGTTTCTCCTTCATGTGTTTCTCTGTGATGGAGAATTAGACACCCGACTCTGTAGAGCTCAGGCTTGATCTCATGACTTGTTTGGCCAGTGAAATGTGAACAGAAGTAATGTATGTCACTTCTGGGCAAAAACTTTAAGAGCCAACATTTGGTTCACCATTTTGCTCTGTCAGGAGAAATAGCCTTGTTGAAAATAGAGAGTGGTGAAGTGATACGGAGGAGAGTTGCAGCCAAATCAGTATAGACATGTAATAGATGGTAGCAGTAAACCTCTTTGACAGCCCATGATATAGTTGGAATCATTTCTTTACTATAGCATAACCTTTCCTGACCGACACAGTACCAGAGACAGGACATACGCTCAACCCAAGTTCATCTTAAAGCCCATGCTTGTGCTGCTCTTTTTTTCTTAAATAAACCCACTAGCATTAGAGTTATTTATCAGTTGTCTTATTGACTGTATATCCTCTACTTGTACATTTAGTTTTCTTTTACTAATTCATGCTCTTAACTCTTCGATCTCTGTTACCTCATGTCTTTGTGACCTCATCCTATTTTTACATTTTTCTAGGCTAACAAGTTATTAGCTGTAGTTGTGTGGATATTAATGGACATTACTGTAATTGTAGAATTTAGAAGCTGAAAGCTACGTTCTGAAATATACTTGTTCTATTCTGCATTGCTGGGTTTTATAAAAACATTGAGCTTCAATAACACAGCATTAGGAATATTTTTAATTTTACTCAATAGCAGTGGGAACTGTGTAAATACGTTAGAAGTGCTGTATGAAAACAAAATACCAAATAGAGATTTTTTTCACTGTGAAGTTTTGTGTCAATTTAAGTGCCATTCAGATTTGTTGTATATCATACTTTTATTTAAGACTTATAATCAGTCCTATTTTGTCTAATCATTGCTTTTATCTTTTTATATGTAAATACCCATCTCATACTTATTTATAGCTAATGAAATAACCCCATTTCTGTTAGTCTTCACTAAATTCATTAAAATTTTACCTAAATTATTACCAGTTAGTGGTCTAAGTCAATGTGGCAATTATTTCAGCCACTTAGAGTGATCTGTTGGTCAGATTTTCTAAACATTGCCAGGGAACAGCTGATAAAATCCTAAATTACACACTTTACCAGTAATGTACAGATTAACTTTTTTCCACAGATCTGTGTGTCTTGTAGTTGAAAGTAGATATTGAGTCTTGTACATGTTTCTATTTAACGTGAATTAGTTATACATACTTAAAATAGTATGTTTGGTTTAATATCTTACAATAAATTACATAATTTATGAAACTTTTATTTATAAATTCCTATTAACTGATTTTGATATGGAATTATACAGAAACACTTCAACCAAAAGCAAATTATCTTCACTTTTTTGTCTTAGATGTTAGAGTGCATCCTGACAGAGTTAAAAAAAAAAAACTTTTTTTTTTGTTTTTTTGAGTATAGTTGACACAAAATGTTACATTAGTTTCAGGTGTACAGCTTAGTGATTCAATAGCTCTGTAGGTATGCTGTGCTCATCACAGGTGTAGCTGCCATCTGTCACCATGCAGTGCTGTTACAATACCATAGACTGTATTGTCTATACTATATCTTTTATTCCCATGACTTATTTATTCCATAACTGGGAGCTGGTAACTCCCACTTCCCTTCCCATTTACCCTTTACACACACATTCCTCCCCACTGGGAACCATCATTTTGTACTTACATGCCTGATTCTACTTTTTGTTCATTCATCTGTTCTGTTTTTTAGATATCACATATAAGTGAAATCATATGGTGTTTTTCTCTGATTTATTTCACTTAGCATAATACCTTGTAGGTCCATCTGTATTGTCACAAATGGCAGGATCTCTTCCTTTTTATGGCTAATATTCCATTGTATATATACCACATTTTTAATCTGTTAATCTATCAGTGGACACTTGGGCTGCTTCCATATCTTGGCTATTATAAATAATGCTGCAGTGAACAAAAAGGTGCATGTTATCTTTCAAATTAGTATTTTTGTTTTCTCTAGGTAAATACCCAGTGAAATTATTGTATCATATGGTATTTCTATTTTCAGTTTTTTGAGGAGCCTCCCCATTACATTCTCATCCACAGTGCACAAAGTGTTCCTTTTTCTTCACATCCTTGCCAACACTTGTTATTTCTTCTTGATTCTAGCTGTTCTGACAGATGTAAAGTGATATCTCATAGTGGTTACAATTTGCTTTTCTCTGCTGATGAGTGATGTTAAGCATCTTTTCATATGTCTAATGGCCATCTGTATATCTTCTTTGGAAAAATATTCAGATCCCCTGCACATTTTTAATCAGATTATGTGGTTTTTTTGGTGTTGGGTTGCATAAACTTATGTATTTTGGATATTAACCCCTTATCAGATATCATTTGTAAATACCTCCTCCGATTTAGGAGGTTGCTTTCTTTGTTGATGGTTTTCTTTGTGCAAAAGCTTTTTATTCTGATGTAGTCCCAATAGTTTATTTTTGCTTTTGTTTCCCTTGCCTTAGGAGACAGATCTAAAACAATGTTGCTACAGCCAGGGTCAGAGAAATTACTGCCTATGTTCTCTTCTTAGAGTTTACATCAAGTCATTTTATAGATTATAATGCATAATAGGTTATTGGCTGGATATCATGTGGTATTCAGATCATTATATTAGCAAATATGTATTTGTGTTTTAAACTGTTAAAAACCTTGATCTAATGTTTTTCTAATAATAGAGTTTTCCAAGGTAAATGACTTATTTAAGGGTAAAGATTAAATATAATCTCCACAGTCCTTACTATATTGTGTAGTTCTCTTATTTCATTCTTTCAGAATTTGAAGTAGCTGTCAGAACTGATTGACCCAGGTATTTAACCTGTGCCTCAGATAGTAGATGAACTTAAATTTCCATCTCTCTCACTGTTTCTTTTCTTCATTTCTCTTATCCACCAAACTCCTGTATGAGGTTTGGCTGCTGATTCCTTGTGCCACTTCTCACAGCTTCATGGTGACAAGTGTCTTGCAGCTCAGGGTTGCTCTTTATTCAAGTATGTGCCCAGATGAATTTTTTTAAAGATATTTTTAGTTTGACAGTTGATACACAGTTGACCCTTGAACAATGCATGGGTTAGGGGCACTGACCCCTGCACGTAGTTGAAAATCCAAATATAACTTTTGACTCTCCCAAATATAACTAATAGCCTTCTGTTGACTAGAAGCCTTGCAGTAATGTAACAGTTGATTAACACATATTTTATATATATGTTATATACTGTTATTCTTACAGTAAAATAAACTGGAGAAAAATTATTAAAATCACAAGAGAAAATACATTACTGTATAAAAAAAAAAAAATCCAAGCCCATGTTGTTCAAGGGTCAACTGTAGTATGTTCTCTTTTTATAGAAAAACCTGTACAGAAAATGACCACGGTAGCATGAAAGATATATGACTACAACAAAATTTTAACTAAAATATGCACAAACCTTTAGTAAATAATTCTAAGTTGTTTCGGTTTTATATGCTTTAGATGCTGCTGTTAATTCTGGAGAACTGTGGTTTGTGAACTTTTACTCCCCAGGATGTTCACACTGCCATGATTTAGCTCCCACAGTATGTATTTTTTACATTCTGATTGCTAAAGTTTTATTCTAATCTTTTTTTAATGTATTAGGATTTTTTCCTATTAATAGTAATGATAACTATCAATTATCAAATACTTTCATATATGTATGGTTTTATTTGATAAAAATATCCTCCTTTAAGAATGTATAGCTTGAAGAGTGTTCAAGGGAAGAAAAATTATCTTATCAGGGAAATACCTGTGCTTTTTTCCTCATAGTGGAGAGACTTTGCTAAAGAAGTGGATGGATTACTTCGAATTGGTGCTGTAAACTGCGGTGATGATAGAATGCTTTGCCGAATGAAAGGAGTCAACAGTTATCCCAGCCTCTTCATTTTTAGGTCTGGAATGGTAAGGGGTAAAGTTGGCATTTTTTTAATTTGGAACTTTATGGCAAGGAAGATACTAGAGAAAACACAATACGTGATTTTGTAGATTGTTTTGATTTTTAAATCTGATTTTAGGCACCATCTGACTAGAGCCTAGTCTTATACTTTAAATGCCAATACTTTGACCTTTCTTTATTTCAAAATTAAATGTTTACTATTGGTTTCTGTCTTAACTGAACCATTATGCATATTTTACTTTATAGTTCACAAAATATTTTACCTGCATTGTCTCATTGAATATAAAGTTCTCATAGCCCCTTTTTTTTCTAGTGATAAAACTGAAACTAGAAAACTGTTATAAATAGTGTTATTAAAATGTCTTGTGGAATCTGTACAATTGAGATCTTCATATCATTTACACTGTACTATTGAGAGATAAATCTTATTGTATTCAAACTAATGTAAAATTAAAAGTATTTGGTATTATTTTTACTGAGTTTTTAGAAGAATAATAAAAGATATTTCTCTTTTTATAAAAAAATAATAGGCTGCAGTGAAATATCATGGTGACAGATCAAAGGAAAGTTTAGTGAGTTTCGCCATGCAGCATGTTAGAAGCACTGTGACAGAATTATGGACAGGTAATTTTATTTTCTTCATTTGTTTGATTTTCAAGGATACTTTGAATTTGGTATTTTAATTTTTTTTCAGTAATAGTGTTAATATATTGGTCATAATATTGAAATTTTTAAAGTATCTTTTTAGAAGGGAATTTTGTCATTTTTTCTGACCTCTGCTAAATAGTTGGTATTTATAACAAATGAATCATATTTGCATAGAAACTAAAACAGTTAAGATGTGGGAAATGAATACAATGTGATGCTAGCTGTAATGGCAGCTTTCAAAGTGCGATTGAATGTTTAGTTAACCAAGTGTTTTATTGCTTTCATAACTGTACTGTATGGCAGTCAATTCCTGCCTATCTAGTGTAATTTTGAAGTTTAAAAACTCTTTCCTCTAATCTTAGACTTCTGATTGATCAAATGACTTTAGGTTATACTCTGATACTGTGATACCCATGAAATGATAGTATTCACATCTAGTAAGATGTTCTCATCATTCACTGAATATAAGTTATGTCTGTGAAACTGTTAAATGTTAGGGCTGCAGTAATAAAATATATAATCCCATTTTCAAGGGCCTCATTATTTTAGCAAGGAAGGCATTAGTAAACCATTAATGCAGTGTAGTAACTATTATGATAGAGGCAATCTTAGGGAAATGTGAAGAATATAAAAGAACTCAGATGGGGAAAAGTGGAAGGATTAGAAAATACTTCTTGAATGAAGTCAGACCCAATCTGTCATGAAAATGAAGAGGAAGCCTTCAAAGATCACTGTGATGTGATGTGTAAACTAGCAGTACTTCGCCATGAATCTAACAAAAAGATGGGCAGTGCGGTACAGTGGTATGGGGGAAAAACATGGCTAACTGAATGAGTAGACAAAGCTCAGATCACAGGGGCCTTAGTTACCAAATTTAGTCACCAATTTCTTTCTTAATGAAATAATGAATTGATTTTAGATGATGAAAACAATGGAAAATCAATGTAGGAATTTGATAGACTTCAAGAGGATTTTTATGAATTTCTGAATTCCAATAATAGATAATCAGAAATTTGCTTTATTTTCTTTTAAGGAAATTTTGTTAACTCCATACAAACTGCTTTTGCTGCTGGTGTTGGCTGGCTGATCACTTTTTGTTCCAAAGGAGGAGGTAATTTTGTTATGATGAACAAACCAAGATATTTAAATTTTAGGTGCCAGTCTTATTTTTTTTATTGAGATATTTTCTTATTGAAATAACATTATGTAACTTCAGGGTATACAACCTGTTGGGGATACACTTATATATTGCAAAATGATTACCTCCATAGCATCAGCTAACACCTCCATCCTGTCACATAAATACCTTTTCTTTTTCATGGTGAGAACATTTAAAATCTACTCTCTCAGCAGTTTTCAAGTGTATGATCTAGTATTATTGGTTATTATCACCATGCTGTACATCACATTCCAAGAACTTGTTAAGCTTATAACAGGAAGTTTGTACCCTTTGACTAGCTGTTAGTCTTAAGTATGCCACTATAATTGATCATTCAGTACTTCATGCTACAATTTGTATCCAATTATAATTTTTTATTTAATGAATACTTACATTTTTATTAATTTACACATAATTTATAAAATTATTAATTTGTTAAAAATTCATTTATGACTTTGTTTGGCGGACAAGTTTTTCACTGTAATTATTCTCATTATAATTAATACCTTCGGGTAACCACAGACAGATATATTTGGCAGTTTGCAAAAATAGTTGTTGACATGTAACCCTCCCAAAATAATAATTTTTTTGGTATTATGGACTTTGTCTCATACTTAACATATCAAAAATGTATACATGTTGCCTTTTAAAATATTTGAAGATGACAATTTTCCATTTCTAGGAACCTTTCCACCAGTAAATTAATTTGAAAATTCAATACTCTATGAGACCACACCACAAACTATTAAACTCTGTTCAAACAATGAGATTAGTTAAAAATCAGCCCCCTTATTACAGAATACCCCCAATTCATTAACACATTTCATATGTTTAATCCCAACATGGGTCTTTAACCCAGACTTTACCTATCAACTTCATGCTGCTGAATTGAGAACGAATTGCCTTACAGCTAAAATCGACCACTCACCCTATCCCATAAGGCCCATCTTAGGAAAGTATTGCCTTCAAGCAAAAATAACCATTAAATTAGTCTATCATTAAGGGATTTTGTTTCATTTTGGCCTAATGCACAGATTTCTGTTCATTCCACACATTAAGAAAAACTTTTTAACTTTCTGACATTCTTTTACCTTTCACCCCAGGTAGATTGATTTTTACCTCTCTTTATAGGCTCTGTGGTACTACAGTTCCCTTGCTTGTAAATCTGTCTCATTGTATCCTAGCATTCCTATTTAAGGATTTTCACGAAAATGGTGAAGAAGTTATTTTAAGATTGTATTGTATCTTGGGAAGGAAAGCTTCCATATTCATTCTATGAGGACAGCATTATCCTGATACCAAAACCAGAAGACACCACAAAAAAAAAGAGAACTATAGGCCAATATCTGATGAATATAGATGCATAGATGCAAAAATCTTCAACAATACATTAAAAAAATCATTCACCATGATCAAGTGGGATTTAATTCTGGGATGCAAGGGTGATTCAACATTAGCAAATCAATCAATGTGATACTTTATATCAGCAAAAGAAAAGATAAAAACAATATGATCATTTCAGTAGATGCAGAAAAAGCATTTGACAAAGTACAACATTCATTCATGAACAAAAATAGGTTTAGAAGGAACATACCTCAACATAATAAAGGCCATCTACTAACCTACAGCTAACATCATACTCAATGGTGACAAATTAAGGGCTTTTCTCCTAAGATCAGGGCCAAAACAAGAATGTCCACTCTTACCACTTTTATTCAATGTAGTACTAGAAGTCCTAGCCACAGCAGTCAGACAGGAAAAAGAAACAAAAGGCATCCAGATCAATAAGAAAGAAGTAAAACTTTCAGTATTTGCAAATGACATGATACTTAGTAAAGAAAACCCTGAAGACTCTACCAAAAACTAGCACTGATAAATGAATTCAGTAAAGTTGCAGGATACAAAATCAATATACAGAAACCTGTTGCATGTCTATACCCTAATAATGAAGCAGCAGAAAGAGAAATTAAGAAAATAATCCCATTTAGAATTACACCAAGAGTAGTGAAATACTTAAGAATAAACTTAACCAAAGAGGTGAAAGACCTGTACTCTGAAAACCATAAAACATGAAAGAAACAAGACGATACAAATGGAAAGATATTCCATGCTCATGGATTGGAAGAACAAATATTGTTAAAATCTCCATGCTATCCAAATCAATCTATAGATTTACTACAATCCCTATCAAAATACCAATAGCATTTTTCACAGAAATAGAACAAATAATCCTAAAATTTGTACAGAACCACAAAAACCCCAAATAGCCAAAGCAACCTTGAAAAAGAACAAAATTGGAGGTATTACAATCCCAGATTTCAAGATATACTACAAAGCTGTAGTAAAACAGTATGGTACTGGCACAAAAATAGACACACAGATCAATAGAATGGGTTAGAGAGCCCATAAATAAAGTCATGCCTATATGGTCAATTAATCTACAACAAAGGAGGAAGAATATGCAGTGGGAAAAAGACAGTCCCTTCAACAAATAGTGTTGGGGAAACTGGACCACTTCCTCACACCATACACAAAAATGAAGTAAGGATCTAAAAGTGAGACCTGAAACCATAAAAATCTAGAAGAGAGCACAGGCAGTAATTTCTCTGACAACAGCCATAGCAGCATTTTTCTAGATATGTCTCCTGAGGCAAGGAAAACAAAAGCAAAAGTAAACTATTGGGACTACATCAAAATAAAACTTCTGCACAGCAAAGGAAACAACAAAACTAAAAGACAACGTATGGAATGGGAAATATATAAAGAACTTACACAACTCAACACACACAAAAAACGATCCAATTTGCAAATGGGGAGGAGACAATTTGAATAGACATCTCACCAAAGAAGACACACAGATGACCAACACACATGAAGATGATGAGTTATGTTGAGCATCTCACACCTGACACCTATCAGAATGACTAAAATCAAAAACACAAGAAACAACTGTGGGTGAGGATGTGGAGAAAAAACCCTCATACACTGTTGGTGGGAATGCAAACTGGTGAAGGCACTGTGGCAATATGGAGGTTCCTCAAAAAGTTGAAAATGGAATTACCATATAATCCAGTAATTCCTCTACTGGGTAATTACCCAAAGAATATGAAAACACTAGTTCAAAAAGATCTGTATCCGTCTGTGTTTATTGCAGCATTATTTATAATATCCAGATTATGGAAGCAGCCCAAATATCCATCAATAGATGAATGGATAAAGAAGTGGCATATATGTATATAATGGAATATTCAGCCATAAAAAAAGAATGAAATCTTGCCGTTGGCAACAATATGAATGGATCTAAAAACTATAATCCTGAGTGAAATAAGTCAGAAAAAGACATACCATATGATTTCACACATGGAATTTAAGAAATAGGAAAAAAGAGACAAACCAAGAAATAGACTCTTAAGTAGAGAGAACACACTAATGGTTACCAGAGTGGTGGGTGGGGGATGGGTGAAAAAAGTAATGGAGATTAAAGAGTACACTTGCCATGATGAGCACTATAATGTATAGAATTATTGAATCCCTGTATTGTACACCTGAAACTAACACTGTATGTTAACTACTGGAGTTAAAATTAAGTAAAAGACTTGTATTTTAAAGATTCTTTATATACTTTTATCAAATAGAGCCATTACATTTTATTTCTCCAAAATCATGAGATCTCTTGGATCAAGGGGATTGTTGATAGGAGCAGAGATTTGAGAGGAAGATCCTAAAGAGATTCCCTTTAGCTAGAAATCCTGGGAAACTAGCGAGAAAATGGGAAAATGTGTGCATGCATGCGTGCGTACGTGTGTGTTTGCGTGTGTGGAATGAGACTTTGGCCTCAGTATCTACCTAGTGTATGTGTCACTATTTACCAGTGGAGTCCAGTCAGTTACCTTAGAGTCAACATGGTAGTTTGCAGGGGAAGGCAAACGAAAGTACAGACTTAAGTTAAAGTTATGTCATAATTTTTTTTCCCCTCTAGATTGTTTGACTTCACAGACACGACTCAGGCTCAGTGGCATGTTGGTAAGCATCAATTATTTTGTAAAACCATATGGCCATGTTAAGAAAGACATTTAAGAATTGATTCTAAATATTTCTTTGTAGTTCCTTAACTCACTTATTTGTAAGGTTTTTTTTTTGATAATGTATTCATAGCTATAAAACTTTTCTTCCTAACTAATTAGAGTTTTGAGATGTGCTTTCATTGTTCACTTCTAAATATCCTGTAATATAATTATGAATTCTTCTTTAATCAAAGAGGTACATATTAGTGTTGGTGTCACCTCCAAACTTTATTTCTTACTTTTTTTGTTTTGTTGTTATTTTGTTGTATATTTAGCTCTCATCATACTAAGGTTGGGGAATATAATCTGTATGTTGTTGATACTTTAATACTCATTGGAGCTCCCTTTGCTGCCTGGGAGTTTATCAGTTATGAAAATCGTGAAAAATCTATGTGTGCTCAAAAATATGTTTTCTGCGTATGTTAGGTAGAATTTTTGTATCAGACCAATTTTATCTGCATTTATTTTTTGTGTAAACTTTTTAAAAAACATTTTAAATTTACAGTAGAAAAGTTGGGGGTTTTTAAATCTAAATTCCTTTAACTTTCTCTTTTACTCAACACGTGACCTGTTTTTTGTTTCTTTCCACTGTAGGATGGTCTTGTTAAGGTAGGATGGATGGACTGTACCACCCAGGACAACCTTTGTAAAAGTTTGGATATTACAACAAGTACTACTGCCTATTTTCCTCCTGGAGCCACCTTAAGTAACAAAGAGAAAAGCAGTGTTTTGGTATGAGTTACTAATTTCTTTATATATATGTGAATACATGCATTCAAACATAAGACATCATTTTATAAACAGTGAACAAGGAAATGAATCCATTTACAATAAACATTATTTAGAATAAGTAATTTCTGGGATTCTGTTTAATGTTAAGATCTGCTATAAGGATTATTTTATAATGGTAGAAACCATTACCCTTTACAACCCAGAAGTATGGGAAACAGTCTTAGGTTATATGAATTTTTATTGGTTTCCATTTATGTGTATATTTTCTAATGCTAAAAAGTAGATCATTAGTGCATTTGGCTGGGACTCAGTATTTGTTTTTTTAAACCACCCTGTTAGATTCTGGTTATAAACTCAGTTTGGAAATCTACTATATGGTTCATCTCCCTAATTTTGTGAATGAGAAGACTGAGGTTCAAGCTAGTTATCAAGGAGCTAAGATAAATAATGGGATATTGAATAGGTTCCTAGGAAACCTCAAAAGAAAATAAAAGAGAAACTTTAATTAGTTTTTATTTCTGTATTTTAATTCTGCTTTCTTGATGTTGACAAAGATAACACATACTCATTACAGAAATTCATATATGGGTATAGAAATGTATAAAGACAGTTGCAAAATTCTTCTAAATCCAAATCACCCACAGATAAGCACCATCAAACCTTGATAAATACTCTTCCAGATCTCTGCTTACATATATGTGCAATTATAACTTCATGCTGACAACTCTCCACTTCTGTCTGTGGCCCAGACCTCTGACCTCCCCTCCAGACATACGTATTCTACTGCCTATTCAACATCTCCCCTGGGATGTTAACTGATTTTTCAAACTTAGATATCCGTAACTATACCACTGATATTCTCCCATAAATCTGCTCTGTCCACAGTTTTCTCTATCTCAGTTGATAAAAAAATCCATCCTTTATCATTCAGGTCAAATACCTTAGAGTCATTGTTGACTCTTCTTTTTCTTATATTCTGTAACTTACATTGGGAGAATCTGTGGCTCTGTCATTAAAATCTTTCTAAAATCCACTTCCACTGCAACTAGAGCATTTATCACCTTATAATATACACTAATATATTAGCTTTGTATTTTTATTTTTCTCCCACAATACATTTTTAAGTTTGAATTTTTTTTTACTGTTATATCTCAAATCCCTAGATTATCTGGCACACAAGTGGACACTATATATAGTGCCTATGTATATTACATACTATCTGCTAGAGCTAAACATACACATAAATAGGTAAATCAACAATCCCTAAGTAACAATCCATTCACTAAATGTGACATGCTTAGTTAATTTAATCAGTCCTCTCGATATTTAACTCACCTACTTTTTCATGGTTATAAGTAATGTTGTAATGAACAATGTTGTTTGTTCATCTTTGTGTACTTCTTTAGTTACCTGTTTAGATGAAATAGCCATGGCAGTTTTAATTTCAGTTTGTTTTGCCAGATTGCCCCTATAGAAAATTTCTGTTTATATTGTCCCACAGTTCATGAGCATGCCTAGTCCCTTAATAGAAGTTTTTCAGTACTACAGTCTCATATTTTAGTGAGATCTTTCTGCTTTTTGATATAAAACTGCAAACTCAGATGCAATCTTAGGAGACATAAATGAGTAATACTGGAAGTGTAACTACAGGGAGTGATGAATTAAATGGTCCTTGTCACTTCTAAAAGCATTCAAGTTTTTAGAAAAGTAAGACATCTGTTGGTCTCCTCAAACTGAATTGGGTGAGAAAAAGTACGGTCTAATATAAACATCTTGGTTATCTCTCAAAGTCAGTTCCATTTTTGCTGTTGGCAAATCTTGCCTTGTTTATTCCAGTGACAGTTTTTTCTGCTTAATGGTTTGTTTTGTTGGAATGTGAGTTCATTTATTTGTATGTCATATGTAGTTTATGTCTTCCTTAAACGCTCTCTTTCCCACATAAATTCCAGTTGTAATACTTGACATCCATTTGAGAAGATCCATCTCTTCCCTCTTTCCTAGTCAGTATATTCAGCAAACATTTATTTACCAAGCCCTTACTGTGGACAGAATTGTACTGGGTAATTGGGAAGAAAAATAGATAAAAGTCCACATAGTGTAGTGAATCATTACAGTGTGGCCTCGTTGTTTTGGGATGTATTATTTACAACAGCATTTCACACCATTCATATCCTAATGTTACTCTAAAACCCAGTATACTATCAATGGTAATTTTGTGGTTATCTGCCCCCCCCCCAAAAAAAAGTACCCAGTGTTTTTTTTTTTTGCATTCCATCGATAAGGAAAAAAATTTCAATCTGTAATAAACTGATTTATTGTGAAGTGACTGTAATATAGTGAAGTTATATTAAATTGTTAAAACTCTGTCTCCCCAAACACATATTGGGAAGTAATCTCCAAAAAAGGTATGTAACTTTGCATTAGGTATAAAGAAAACTCTGGGTGCTATAATTAGGTTATTTTGAGGCAGAGAGTTATTGTCCCAACTGATTTAGTATGTTCTGTAATTGAGAAATGTTCACCACATTACACCTTTTAAAAGTGATTTACATGTACGTTTTATAGAGGACATGTCTGTATATAATGAATAAAAGGAAGGGAGGGAGGAAGGGAGAAATTCAGAGGTTATACAGTATCCTTTGTAAGTGTAACTACCAAGTTTTACTATATGACAAACAGGTTTATAATGAGATTCTAGTGGAATAATCAGGAGTATTTAATAAAATCTTTCTAATAAATGTGACTGATGTCAATGACCTGTAGTACTATGGCATGTAGTACTTTGGGCCTTTTAAGCCCTTTGTTAACAGAAAATATTTCATATAGATCTTTAACAGTATGCTAAAGATTTAAGAAAAAAGAACAAAAACAAGTTTTAAGAATAGAAACTTAGGAAAAACCGTTTTCTATTCTTACGTTACACCCATTGTTTCTCTCCATATGGTTATTCTCATGTTGGGCACAGTTAAGCTCTGAATACCATGGAAGTTGCTATTAAGTTTTTAATGGAGTTTCAGGCCTTTCAAGTAATACTGAATGATCAGGCAGAGGTGGTTCATAATTAAACTCTGTTTTGTCAACCCGCAAATACATTTTCCTGATGTGACCATTGTTGTTAACGGCTGCTTCTTTAAGAATTACATGAGCAGGGAGAGTGTTGAGAAAAATATGCTAAGGATAAAATATGGACAGAAATAAAGGAAATTTGTTAGAAAGGAGATGGGCCTTTTTCACTTGTTTGTATTTTAAACCTTTAAGGTAAGGTCTTTATCAGGATGTTTAACCCTGCCAAACCCCTAGGTGGTTAGGTTTTTCGACTTTATTTCTGAAAACCTCTATAATAAAGAGTATTCCAATTTTCCAGTTATAAGTTCTGAATTCCTACTAGTTATTGGTTAGGGTATGCAGTGTCTTGGGTCATCAAATAGTCTAGTGTTTTAATTAATAATTCTTTTAAAAGTTTGTAAAGCTTTGGCATTCTGCAAAACATGATAAGCATTAAAATTGCTCTGAACGTAATACAGTTTTTTCCCCAATAATTCAGAGGTTACTCCAGGTTATTGTGAGGATTATTATAGAATGCACACCACAATTAAAAGAAAATTCCAGATAATGGAATTTTAATTTTACATCAGTATTTTTAAGAAACAGCCCAGTTACACAATTTTTTATTAATTGCCAAAATATACTTTTTAAAAAACATTTAGAATAAATAGCTCAAAAACTGTTTTTAACTTTTGTGATTTTTTTTTTTCTTAAGAGAGTTCTATGGAAAAAAGACAACTAAAATAAATGGATGTTGATTAAAAGATTACAATATGATTCTCTTATTTTAGTTCCTTAATTCATTGGATGCTAAAGAAATATATTTGGAAATAATGCATAATCTTCCAGATTTTGAACTACTTTCGGCAAACACACTAGAGGTAATAATTCTGTTAATAATAATAAATGGTAGTAAATGTTGGTAACATTTCAAGTCTTAACATTTTAAAATCAGCATTTGTTTTATTCATCACTAGAAAGCAGTTTCAAAGGATTTTATATATTAATGTATATATGTTAGCTATTCTAGGTTAAACTCTAATTGCTGGAGTTGCAACTTTAGGGTGGGTCTGGAGTTCAATACAACATAACCAGTCCTGAATGGGGGCCTCAGTGGGAGTGTCAAAAAAGCCAAGATTTTGATCACAAAGCAGCTTTCGATCTGATGTGGAATTTTATATGTTCTTGCTTACAGAACTATTTATATTGTTCACTGAGAACTAAGAAGCAGCTTTAGAAATACTCAGTTTGTAGTAAAAGCGTTTTTTTCCTACTCAGTGATCCCAGAACTAAGTCTGTATCCCTACCCAACTCTGCTAAACCTGAAAAAGCTTACTTCTCTACCCCCAACTTTTTAGCTATGTATCATTAATACTATGTATTTTTTTTTGGCACAGTTGTCTGCTTTTAGATTTTATAATTTAGTGATTTTTAGCCTTTAATATAGAATTGATTTACATAGCATTATTCCAGAGAAATACAAAGTATAAGCATAAATGGGTCTGAATTTTAGACAGTATTTTGAAGTAATGGGTATGGTGCCTAAAATTAACTTTAAGTCAAAGAAATAAAGAACAGAACCGTTAGAATTTCTTGATTCTGACATTTTTATCACTTCTAAGGATCGGTTGGCTCATCATCGGTGGCTCATATTTTTTAATTTTGGAAAACATGAAAATTCAAATGATCCTGAGTTGAAGAAACTAAAAACTCTACTTAAAAATGAACATATTCAAGTAAGAAAAATGCATTCTGCCTAGTCTTCTGCTAGTGTGCTTTCTTATTAATTTAATATATAAAATTATATTTTAGGTAACATAAAAATGCTTATTTGAAATTCTAGGTTAAGAAAACCCTAAGTGCTTTTGTTCTTCTGTTGTGATTTTGTTTTTCTATTAAAAATCTACAGTGATACCTGAAAACAGTTAACTTTCATTTCTCTTTAGTAGCTGCCATTTGATATATCTGTATCAGGCAGTTCTCTGGAATGACATACCATAGAAAAATATCTTTCCCTTCTTAAAATTCTTATTTATGTAAATAATTTGTACTCATAGTTTAAAAATTAGGATAATATAAATAAGCACAAAAACGAATTAAAATATTTAGTATTTTCACCACTGTTAATAGCCCTACTATAAACTTACTGTGTAATTTTTCAAACTTTTTCTGCATATGTTTTAGTATGTGGGCATAAGGATATGTGTGTACATAAATGCATATTATAATGGCCATTATAACAGACATACCTGTAACTTTATGAACTTTTTTAATAAAAATGGATTCACTGTAGGGGCACCTGGGTGGTGCAATTGGTTAAGTGTCCGACTTGGTTTCGGCTCAGGTCTTGATCTCAGGGTCATGAGATTGAGCCCTACGTCCGGCTCTGCCCTTAGTGTAAAGTCTTGCCCTTTCCCTCTGCCCCTCTCCCCTCTCTTCCACGCTCTCTCTCTCTATCTCTCTCTCTCTCTCCCCCTAAAATAAATCAGTCTTTAAAAACAAAAAGAAAAACCCCAAAAAATGGATTCACTATACAGTAGTCCCTCTTTTCTGCAGGGGATATGTTCCAAGGCCTCCAGTGGATGCCTGAAACCACAGATAGTACCAAACCCTATATATACTTGTTTTTTTCCTATACATACATATCCATAATAGAGTTTAATTCATAAATTAGGCCCAGTAAAAGATTAACAATAATAATAAAATGGACAATTGCAATAATATATTATAACAAAAGTTATGTGAGAATGGTCTCTTACTGTACTGCACTGTACTCACCCTTGTAAACTGATACGAGATGATAAAATGCCTGCATGATGAGATGAAGTGAGGTGAGTGACGTAGGCACTGTGACGTGGTGTTTAGCTACTGCTGACCTGAGAATACCCGAGAAAGAGAATCATATACTTCTGGATTACAGTTGGACCAGTGGGAACCAAAACTGTGGAAAGTGAAACCACTGATAAGGGGGGAACTGCTGTATTCTCTTGTGTAGAATTATCCATTTGACAATGTTGTATATTTTCTTATATGCTAGTTTGTGTATGTATATATATGTGTGTTTGTGTGTATATGAATATGTATATATGTAGATGTATATATATGTGTATGAAGCACTACCTGATATTCAGAGATGATGATATATATATATGTATATATAAATATATTAAATACATTACTAAACACATATATAGATATTTATCATCCTAGAGAGACCATCCTCCCTAAAGTCTAGGTAATATTTCACTATATGGTTACACCATAGTTGTTTAACAAATCCTCTTTTACTAACATCATTTCCATTATTTTTTTATATTAAGAGTACATACTCTAAAAATGCAGTATGAAGAATTTTTTTAACCAAGGTTGTTTTTTCTTAAATTGTCCTCATTACCAGTTGTCCTCCAGAATGTTTATATCATTTTATATTCTTATAACATGTCAGTAACCATTTCTCCACACCTGTGCCAGCCATGGTATTATCATTTTTTTAATAACCATTCTGATAAGCCAAAAGTGATATGTTAATAATACTCATTTTCACTTATTTGCTTCCTAGTGGGGTTGAAAAAGTTTTTTTGTGATTATTAACAAATCATGATTTTTCTCTATTTTCTGTCTCTGGCCCATTTTCTTTCTTCTGATAGGATATTTATCTTTTACTTCTTAGTGGATCCTCTGAAATCCTCAGATATTTTTTCTTGGTTTATCATTTCCCTCTTAGTATTCTTTATGCTGTTTCCCTTACAGTGTATGAAATTGTCAGGCTTTGCTTTATTATTTCTGCTTTTAGGGTATAAAAACGTTTTCTCTCTCCCCCATTCCAAGCTTATATAAATACTCCCTATATTTTTAGAAGAGTGGATTTCTTGAACTTTTTTTTTAAGATTTGATTTATTTATTTGAGAGAGACCACAGCAGGGGGAGCAGCAGTCCCCCTGTGGAGCAGGGAGCCCAATGAAGGGCTTGATCCCAAGACCTTGGAATCATGACCTGAGCTGAAGGCAGACGCTTAACTGAGCCACCCAGGCGCCCGAAAGAGTGGATTTCTTAAACAACTTCCTATTTTCTGGAAAATTTTCTCAGGCTTTTGAACTCTAAAAGGCTTTTTTTTTTCCCTTAACTAAAATTGAATTTCAGTGTTAAATGTGAATTATTTCTATCTTTTATTTTCATGGCCAGTTAATTTCTGTTTAGAAACTATTGTTAGAGCAATGTCATTCCTTTATGAATATTTAAAAAAATGAATGCGTATGATTTTGTTTTCATCAATTTAAATTTTCTACTTTAGGTTGGTAAGTTTGACTGTTCCTCTGCCCCAGACATCTGTAGTAATCTGTATGTGTTTCAGCCATGTTTAGCAGTATTTAAAGGACAAGGAACCAAAGAATATGAAATCCATCATGGTAAGAAGGGAGAAAATGATAAAAATGTATATTTATTTTCAAATAGCAATTTTTTAATTATACTTTTTACCTTGTTTTTTTAAAATTCTTTAATATGTAGTTGACACACTGTGTTATATTAGTTTCAGGTGTAAAGCAGTGATTCCCCAACTCTGTATGTTATGCTGTGCTCATACAGGTGTAGTTAGCATCAATCACAGTACCATTTACTATATTCCTATGCTCTACCTTTCATCTCCATGCCTTATTCATTCCATAGCCGGAAGCCTGTAACTCCCATGCCATTTCATCCATTTTGCCCATCCTGCCATCGCTCTCCCCTGAGTAACCACCAGTTCTCTGTATTTATGAGTCTGTTTCTACTTTGTTTTGTTTTTTGGATTCCACATGTAAGTGAAATCATATATTTGTCTTCTCAGACTTATTTCGCTTAGCATATATTCTAGGTCTATCCATATTGTCACAAATGGCAAGATCTTACTCTGTTTCATGGCTAACAATACTCCATCTGTGTGTATGTGTATGTCTGTGTACATACACACATCTTCTTTATCCATCTGTCAGTGGACACTTGTGTTGCTTCCATATCTTGGCTGTTGTAAATTAATGCTGAAATAAACACAGGGGTGCATGTATCTTTTCAAATTAGTGTTTTTGTTTTCTTTGGGTAAATACTCAATAGTGGAATTACTGGATTGTATGGCATTTTTAATTTTTTGAGGAACCTCTCTACTGTTTTCCACAGTGGCTGCACCAGTTTGTATTCCCATCAACAGTACATGAGGGTTCTTTTTTTCTACATCGTTGCCAACTCTGGCTATTTGTCTTTTTGTTATTAGGTGTTCTGATGGGTATAAGGTGATATCTCATTGTCGTTTCGATTTGCTTTTCCCTGATGATATTAGATATATCATTTGAGGGGTACCTGCGTGTCTCAGTAACTTAAGTGTCCGACTCTTAATTTCAATTCAGATCGTGATCTCAGGGTTGTGAAATCAAGCCCCGGGTTGGGAGCCTGCTTAAAATTCTCTCTCCCTCTTGGGGCACCTAGGTGGCTCAGTTGGTTGGGCGTCTGACTCCTGGTTTTGGCTTAGGTCATGATCTCATAGGTTGTGAGATAGAGTCCCTCGTTGGGCTCCTTGGTCAGCGGGGAGTCTGCTTGAAGATTTTCTCCCTCTGCCCCTCCCCCTGCTTGCTCAGCGCTCACACACTCTCTCCATCTCTCTCTAAAATAAATAAATCTGGGACTCCTGGGTGGCTCAGTTGGTTGAGTGTCTGCCTTCGGCTCAGGTCATGATCCCAGAGTCCTGGGATCAAGTTCAGCATCAGGCTCCTTGATCGACAGGTAGCCTGTTTCTCCCTCTGCCTGCCCCTCTCCCCTGCTTGAGCACTCTCTCTCTCTCTGACAAATAAATAAATAAAAATCTTTAAAATAAATAAAATCTAAAAAAAAAAAAAAGATACTCTTTCCCTCAGCCCCTAACCCCCCATCTCGAGTGCACTCTCTCTATCCTTATATATAAAGTTAAAAAAAATAATGTATCATTTGAAAATCACTTCTCCCATTCAGTAGGTTGCCTTTTCCTTTTGTTGATTGTTTCCTTCAGTGTGCAAAATTTTTTTATTTTGATGTAGTCCTGATAGTTTATTTGCTTTTGTTTCCCTTGCCTGAGGAGACAGGTCTAGAAAAATTGTTACTAACGCCAATGTCAGAGATTACTGCCTATTTTTTCTTACAGGACTTCTTTGGTTTCAGGTTTCACGTTTAGGTCTTTGATACCTTTTGAGTCTATTTTTGTGTATGGTGTAAGAAAGTGGTTGAATTTCATTCTTTTGCATGTAGCTGACTGGTTTTCCTAGTGCCATTTACTGAGACTCTTTTCCCCCTTGTATAATCTTGCCTCCTTTGTCAAAGATTAATTGACTATGTAAGCATGGGTTTATTTCTGGGGTCTCTGTTCTATAGTCCCATTGACCTAAGTGTCTGTTTTTATGCCATACCATGCTGTCGTGTTTACTATAGCTTTGTCCTATATCTTGAAGTCAGGGAGCATGATATCTAGATTTGTTCTTTTTCAAGAGCACTTTGGCTATTTGGGGTCTTTTGTGGTTCTTTTTACTTTGTTTTATATAAATATACTTACTGTAAATAACTTTGCTTTTATTAGTAAATAGGTTTCTTTTGGAGAAAGATTTTTTGAATTATATTTAGTTATTTTATTCTCTTTTCTTTTTAAGATAACTTTTTTCTGCTATTTTGATTAGTGTTTCAGCAAGAATGCTGGTGACATGTCAGGTTAGTGCAAAATTTAGGGGTCTTATTCATAAAAGTGAGCAACATCTATAGTTTCCATTTCCAGTGTACCAAAGTAGCATCTCAGCCATGGGCATTTTCCAGATTTTTCCTCCACTAGACTAAATTTTTTTTTTAACATTTTATTTATTTATTTGACAAAGACACAGCTAGAGAGGGAACACAAGCAGGGGGAGTGGGAGAGGGAAGAATCAGGCTTCCCGCCTAGCAGGTAGCCCGATGTGGGGCTCAATCCCAGGACCTTGGGATCATGACCTGAGCCAAAGGCAGACACTTAATGACTGAGCCACCCAGGCGCCCCTAGACTATTAAATATTTCTATGGCTACTTTTATCTCTCCTGAATTTATAATTACATTTTTACATTTCAGCTTATAATGGGACTTCAGCTCTGCATTCATGTAACTACAGTTGCAATTATGAGGATTTGGGATACCTCATAGTCCCTGTCCTGAAAAAGGTCAAATGTAGCAAAAGAAACACACAAACTACTAACTATAACACAGCTAAGTGAATAACAGATATTGACTGATGTTATGTGCTTAGGAATGCAAAGTTCTCTCAAGACATTTAAAATATCAGGGCGCCTGGGTGGCTCAGTTGGTTAAGTGTCTGCCTTCAGCTCGGGTTGTGATCCCAGGATCAAGTCCCTCATCGGGCTCCCTGCTCAGCGGGGAGTCTGCTTCTCCCTCTGCCTCTCTCTCTCAGTCTCTCATGAATAAATAAAATCTTTAAAAAAATTTTTTTAAATATCATCTGGTGGGGTTGATAGAAGGAGATCATAAGACAATATGAAAAACATTGTAATGGCCAGTATGTATAAATTATAAGATCAAATAAAGAGACTTATGTGTAGTATAGATCCAGAGATGATGTTTGAATTAGATAACATTTGAATGCTCAGTTTCTCAAAGCAAATAGAGAAAAGCAAGAAGGGAGGCTAAGCTGAAGGAGCTATGTGAGCAAAGTCTTGGCAAGATGAACCTAACAGTAACTCCTGTTTATTTAGTACTTTCTACAAGTCAGATGTTTTTCTAAAGGCTTCACGTACGTTTCCCTTTATGTTTTTATCTTCACAGCAGCCCACCAAGGGAGAAAACAGTGGCTCGGGATAATTATTTGCCTATGATCAACACCTAGTAACTAGTCAAGGTGGATTTTGTATCCAAATAGGTCTGACTCCAAAGCCTAGGATTACAACAATACTAAACTGTACTGTCTCTTGAAAGTGCTAAAAATTACCACGTTTTAATAATGGAGTTCTGTTCTTTTTTATCTCTGAAATAATTCTGATTCCCCTCCCTTCTGTGTTTGCTGCTTTATTTCTAGTTCATCATCTCCTTCATTTACTCTATTATCCTCTGGTAAAATTGACAGTCTCGTGTCACTTTTCTGCCTTGACTTTCCTATTTTTAAATTTTTTTTCATTGAAGTATAATTGGATTACAGTATTAGTTTCGGGTGTATTATATAATAATTCCCTTTTATATATACACTACAGAATGATCACCATGATGTTTAGTTACCATCTGTCATCATATCAAGTTGTTACATCATTACATCATTACATACATTACATCATTAGTAACTCCATTCCCTGTGCTCTACTTTACACCCGTGACTTGTTTATTTGTTACTGGAAGTTTGTACCTCTTAATCCCCTTAACTGTTTGACCCTTCCTCCCACCTCCCTCTCCTCTGGCAATCACCAGTTTGTTCTCTGTATTTATGAGTCTGTTCTGTTTTGTTTTGCTTCTTCATTCATTTTGTTTTTTAGATATTGGTAAGACAGATGTCCAAGAGTTTTCTGCCTGTGTTTTCTTTTAGGAGTCATGGTTTCAGGTCTTATATTTAGGTCTGTAATATATTTTAAATTGATGTTTGTATATGGTTAAGAAAGTGGTCCAGTTTCATTCTTTTGCATGTAGCTCTAGTTTTCCCAGTACCATTTATTGAAGAGCCTGTCTTTTTCCCATTTTATGTTCTTATTTCCTTTGTCACAGATTGACCATATAAGTATGGGTTTATTTCTCTCTATTCTGTTCCATTGATCTGTGTGTCTTTTTTTGTGCCAATACCATATGTTTTGATTATTATAGCTTTATAGTGTATCTTGAAATCAGGGAGCACGATACCTCTGGCTTTGTTCTCTTTTTTCATGATTGCTTTGATTCTTCATGGTCTTTTGTGGTTCCATACAAATTTTAAGATAATTTGTTCTAACTCTGTAAAAAATGCCATTGATGTTTTGATAGGGATTGCATTGAATATGTAGATTTTTAGAGATCATATAGACATTTTAATAACATTAATCCTTCCAATCTATGAAGACTGTATATCTTTCTATTTATTTGTGTCCTCTTCAATTTCTTCAACAATGTAGTTTTTGGAGTACAGGTCTTTTATCTCCTTGGTTACATTTATTCCTAAGTATTTTATCCTTTTGGATGCAATTCTAAATGGGATTGTTTTCATAATTTCTCTGATAGTTTGATATTATAGAAATAGCACAGATTGAGGAACCTGGGTGACTCAGTCAGTTAAGTGTCCAGCTCTTGGGGTGCCTGGGTGGCTCAGTCGGTTAAGCATCGGACTTCTGATTTCAGCTCAGGTCATGATCTCAGGGTCGTGAGATTGAGCCCCACATCGCGCTCAACGCTGGGTGTGGAGCCTGCTTAAGATTCTCCCTCTCCCTTTTCCTCTGTCCCTCCCTGCCCTCAAAAAAAAAAAAAAAAGAACACAGATTTCGGTATATTAATTTTGTATCCTGTTACTTTACTGAGTTGATTTGTTCTATTAGTTTTTGAGTAGAGGGTCATTTATTTCTGCTCTTTTATTTTTTCCTTCTATTAACTTGGGACTTTATTTCTTCTTTTTCTAGTTCGTTTAAGATGTAAGGTTAGATTGAGATTTTTCTTGTTTCCTGAGGTAGGCCTGTATCTCTATAAACTTGCCTCTTTTTTTTTTTTTAAGATTTTATTTATTTATTTATTTATTTGAGAGAGTGAGGGAGCAAGAGAAAGAGAACACGAGTGGGGTCAGAGGCAGAGTGAGAAGCAGACTCCCCGCTGAGCAGGGAGCCAGATGCTGAACTCCATTCAAGACCCTGGGGTGATGACCTGAGCTGAAGGCAGACACTTAACCCACTGAGCCACCCAGGCGCCCCTAAACTTGACTCTTAAAACTGCTTTTGGTGGGTCCCATAGATTTTGGAATATTGTGTTTGATTTTTATTTGTCATAAGGCATTGTTTTTGTTTTCTTCTTTCATTTCTTCATCATCTCGGTTGTTAGGAACATGTTTAGCTTCGATGTGTTTGTGTTTTTTTCCAGTTTTGTTTGTTTCTAGTTTTATACCATTCGATCAGAAAAAATGCTTGGTATGATTTCAGTCTTCTTAAATTTATTGAGACCTGTTTTGTGGCCTAACATGATTATCTTGGAGAGTGTTCCATGTGCCCCTGAAAAGAACATGTATTCTGTTTTTGAAAAGAATGTTCTGTATTTATCTATTAAGTCAAACTGGTCTAATATGTCCTTGAAGGTTACTGGTTTCTTGTTGATTTTCTGTCTGGATGACCTGTCGTTCATTGATGTATGTGAGGTGTTATTGTATTACTGTCACTTTCTCCCATTACGTCAGTTAATACTTGCTCTACGTATTAGGTGCTCCTGTGTTGACATTTATAAATTTTTATAATTATTTCCTCTTGTTGAATTGATCCCTTTATCATTATGTAATGTCCTTCTTTGTCTCTTATTACAGTCTTTGTTGTAACGTCTGTTTGAGTATTGCTAGTCTATTTTTCCTTTTGTTTCCATTTGCATGAGATATCTTTTGTCATCCCTTCACTTTCAGTCAGTGTATGTCCTTACATCTGAAGTGATATAGGTAGCCTAGAGAGGGGGTTTTGTTTTGTTGGCTTTTGTTATCCTTTCAGCTACCCTGTGTCTTTTGTTTGGAGCAGTTGGTCCATTTACACTTAAAGTACTTACTGATGATAGGTATGTATTGCCATTTTCTTGTAGTTCCTCTCTGTTTCTTTCTTCTCTTGTGATTTGACGACTTTGTTTAGTGTTATATTTGGATTTCTTCATTTTTTGTGCATCTGTTACAGGTTTTTGGTTATCATTAGGTTCATATATAACAACTTATGTTAGTGTCACTTAGGTTTGAATGCATCTTAAGCACTGTGTTTTACTCTCCTGACTTTTTTTGGCTTCCTATTTTATATCTTTTTGTGTATCCCATAACTAATTATTGTAGATACAGATTTTACTACTTTTCTCTTTAACCTTCATACTAGCCTTATAAGTGATTGATCCACTACATTTTCTACATGTTTACCAATGTTTGCCATTACCAGTGATTTTTTTTTTCTTTCATAACTTTCTTCTAACTATGGCCTTTTCTGTAAAGAAGTCTGTGTAACATTTCTTTTAAGGCTGGTTTAGTGGTGATGAACTCCTTTAACTTTTGTTTGCCTGGGAAACCATCTCTCCTTCAATTCTGAATGAGAACTGTGTTGGGTGGGGTATTCTTGGTTGTAGACTTTTTCCTTTCAGCACTTTGAATATATCCTGCCACCCTCTTCTGGCCTGCTACGTTTCTGCTGAAAAACCAGCTTATAATCGTATGGGGGTACCCTTGTGTGTAACTAGTTGGCACAGCTCTCGCTTTTTCAGATTTTCTCTTTTCTCTTTAATTCTGACATTTTAAAAATGTGTCTGGGTGTGAATTTACTTGAGTTCTTGTTTGGTCTTCTCTGTGCTTCCTAAATCTGTGTGTCTGCTTCCTTCCCCCGGTAGGGAAGGTTTTCAGCTCTGATTTCCTCAAAGAAGTTTTCTGTCTTTTATTCTCTTTCTTCTCCTTCTGAACCCTCTGTAATGTCAATATTAGGACACTTGATGCTGTCCTAGAGGCCCTTTAACCTAACCTATGCTCATTTTTTATTCTCTTTTCTTTTTGCTGTTCCGCCTGGGGGATTTCCTCAACTCTGGCTTCCAGATCCATCTGGTCCATTATGCTGCTTATAATCTGCTGTTGATTCCCTCTAATGTGTTTTTAGTGTCAGTTATTGTATTCTTTGGCTCTGACTCATTTTTTAGATATTTTATTTCTTTATTCCTTAATTCTTTAAGTTCTCTCTATGTTCATCCACCTAGTGGGTGACTATGCCATTGCCAAGATAGGGAAGGTGAGAAAAGCAAGTTCAGGGGGAAATAGCTCAACTTCAATTTTAATATATTTGAAATGTTTGTATGACATCCATGTGAGTATTTTCACTGGGCAGTTGGTAATACAGGTTTTGAATTCATAAGGGAAGTCAAGTTTGAAGAAATAGATTTAGTAGTTCCGCAGTAGTAGTTCAAGTATAAAGAACACAAATACTGCAAAAAAGTGGTTACTCTGCCTCTGAGGATGAAGGAGCATTGCAAAGAAAGGTGCTCCTGGCAAAGCAAACCTATTTATGTATAGTATACAGAACACTAGACCCTCACCAAAATCAGTGTGTTCAATAAGTTTATCTTCATTTCTTTAATATATGAAGTATAAAAACTTTGAAATGTTTCTATGGATAGAAAGGCAGAATGTGGATTTTAATTTTTCTTTTATTCAATTTCAAAGGAAGGAAGATTCTATATGATATACTTGCCTTTGCCAAAGAAAGTGTTAATTCTCATGTTACCACACTTGGACCTCAAAATTTTCCTGCCAATGACAAGGAACCGTGGCTTGTTGATTTTTTTGCCCCAGTAAGTTGTTTTTATCTGTCAAATTTCAGTGTTGTCACATTTTCTCTTATCATAGCAAAAAGACATTTTCTAGATAGTCTTGAACCATGAGTACCAAAATTGTGTTACTGAGTTTTGGCCCCTATCACATATTCCTTCTAGGAGAGCGGGGATGTACTTGCCCCTCCAAGAATTAAATAGACACACACACACACGCATAAGATTTGTCACTAAGTATGGTTTAATCTTACTTAGTATATGTTGCTTGTTGCAGAAATGGTGGGGTTTTTTTGTTTCATTTAGTTCAGTGCTTGTGAATATTTTTTCTTTCACAGTGGTGCCCACCGTGTCGAGCTTTATTGCCAGAGTTACGAAAAGCATCAAAACATCTTTACGGTCAGCTTAAGTTTGGTACACTAGATTGTACAGTTCACGAGGGACTCTGTAACATGGTATGTATAAAATACTTGTTCTAATTAACACTTCTGTAAAATAGTTTTTAAGTTACACTGCCAAAGGTCTCTATTTCAGATGCTCGTCTATGTTTAGAGTAGTAAATTATTTAATCAAATAATTTCAACAAATATTTCAAAAAATGATATAAAATTATGATTGGATTAAAACATGAATAGACAACATAAATAGTTGAATGTAGACATGGTCTTATTTATCAAACTGGGGAAAATATTTTGTTTACTTGATAAAATACATGATTTTTCCATTATTTAAAATCTTCATAATTTTTGACTCAGTATTGGCTTTTGGCAGTCTGTAGTTTGATTCTCAGGATTTCCTCATAATTGTCTTCCAAGTATAGTTAGTAGATGGAAATTTTAAAAATGAACAAGTTTTTTTCAACCTTTGTTTACATAAAAATATTAGGGTAATTCATAAAATATTCATTCTTCAGTTCCAGGAATAACTAGAAATTCTATGTCTTGTCATGAAAGTATATAATACCACCAATAAAATATTCTTGGAACAAGTCTCTGAAACCTAAATCAGATATCACACCTTGAGATCTATCCGTATGTAGGGAATCAGAGGAACATGTTAAGTGACACCATGGGCATGAAATCTGCAAGTCCCAGTATATAGAGGATCTTACAAGACAAATACCTAATTTATTGGTATTCAGATACACTGAAAGGTGGGAAAAGAGATGAAAGAGACTCAAAAGACATATCATTCAAATGCAATGTTTAGGTCTCGTTTGGATGCCAAACCAACTGCAAAAAAGTGAGCAAGCGATAATTGAGGACATTTGAATACTGACAGGGTATCTGATAATTATCAGGAATTGTTCATTTTTAAGTGTAAAAATGACAGTGTAGTTACACTTGGAAAATCCTTGAATTTTAAAAATACAGAAATATGGGTGAAATGATAAATCATCTGGAATTTGCTTTAAAATAATTTTGGTGTAGGAGTAGAGTTAGGAGGTAGTATAAATGAAGTAAGTGTGCCCATGAGTGGATGATTATTATAGCTACGAGAGTACATGCAAGTTTATTGCTGTCTGCTTTTGTGTGTATTTTAAATATTTTATAAAAGCAAACATTTTTAAAAAGAAAAAGAGAAAAATGGAGAAGAAAAAGAAAATGATAGGTTTTAAAAACAAGTAAATGTAGAGTGAAATCTTTATGGCATCTGTGTGAGGAAGAATTTCTCAGTCCACACACACAAGGTAAAAATGTGAATGATTTTGACTATATTAAATGATAAAACTATTGCCAAAGAAAAAGACACTGTGAAGTTAAGACAACAGACTATTTACAGCACATGTAACTGACAGAAAACCTTACTGCCAGAATATTTGACTACAGGTCAGTTTTTTTGTATAGATAAAATGAGAAAGTTGAAACTTTTTTTTTAGAAAAAGAAACCCAACAAACAAAAACTAGCTAGCCATCAAGAAAGTACAAATTACAACAATCTATCAAATTAATCCATCATCAAATGAACAAAAATTTAGAAATCTGACAATAGCAAGTATGGATAGATTATCCAGTCACATAATGGAATACCATAGAGCATTTAAAATTAGATCTATCTTTACCAGCACGTGTAAGTCTCAAAAATACATTGTAAGATGACAAAATCAAGCTGCAGAATAGCTTACAGAGTATGATAGAATTACAGAAAATTTTTTAATGCGCCAACATTTCACTCTGCTGCCCAGGGATATATATGCATGTCACAAAAGTATAAAAACATTAGTGGATTAGATATATACTTATTTGAGGATATTAATTGCTCCTACTTTCAGGGAGGAAAGGAAATGGGATCAAGAAAAAGAACTTAAGCAGTCTGCCAGTGTGACAAAAGAAGTTAAACTTCCTTAAATATCGAGAGGGGATATGTGGGTATTTGTTAGATGATTTCTCTCTTCATTCTCTTTGAAATTTCATTTAACTAAAAACTGAAATAAAATCTTTGGTTTTGAATGTCTTGTATGTGACATTGAAGCTAAGCAAGATACAAACAATGTGAAACAGTGATTATCTTAATTTGAATTCTTCTAGTTTTTCTGCTTTTTAATCTAAACTATTAAATATCCTTTAGATAATTGAGTAAAATATAAGGATTTAAAACTGGTGTCCACTTCACCTGGAATAGAGGCCAGGAGTCATTACTCACTAATTGGTGGACCTTGACCAAGTCACATAGCCTCTCAATACCTCGTTTTCTCATCTGTAAAGTTGACATGGTAATTTTAGCTTCTGAATAGAGTTGTTGTAGAGATTAGATTAGAAACTACATGTTTAAGGGGCTCCTGGGTGGCTCAGTCGATTAAGCATCAAGGTTCTTGGTTTCGGCACAGGTGATCTCATGGTCATGGGATTGAGCCCAATGTCAGGCTCTGCGCTTGGCATGGAATCTGCTTCAGATTCTCTCTCCTTCTCTCTCAAATAAATAAAATCTTTAGGAAAAGAAACTACATGTTTAAGTGCTAAAAAGATGCCCAACACATGCTAAACACTAAGTAGATTAACAAAACAACAGTCATACCTAATGAGTTACTTGGATTTACACTCATTTTACAAAAGTTTGATAAAGATTTCCATTGTTTTTGCAAAAATTATTTTTGAATCCTAATCAAAGATTCTGATTTGCTATTGAGTGCTTGTCAACTTTAAGGATGCAAAGATCAGCTACAGTAAATTCACATAGATATAACTTTTAGAAAAATAAAAATTAAAACTTCAAAGAAATGCTTCCTGGGCCAATGTTCATGTTAATTCTGAGGAGGAAATTACAGTATTTGTACCATAAACGCTATCTTGAATGAAGAATAAAAGGCGACCATATTCTTAGGACATGAGTCATAATTCCTTAAGTTAAAATATGGTTGTATACACATTAATTTATTTCTTTATTCTTGCTACTTTGTTTCCTTTTTCTTCTACTGCTAGACAAATTGGAGCATTATTGTGGTTTCAAAAAGATTCAAGCCAAGAGATTAGCCTGCTCTTTACAGCCTTATCCGTCTTGTTTCAGCAGAGTCAAAAGGGCCCATGCTCATTATTAGCCATATTGTGGCTATGCACACTTCTCAGTGTTTCATTGCCCATGGATTTTATGGCTAATGGACTAGCTATAAAAAAAGGTCATTTATCAGTGCAACTGTGAATCCATTTTCTTTGCCAAATTTGGCCAGGCTAAAATTTTTCAGTCACCAGCAGTTTAGCAGTGGGTTTTTTAAGTGTTATTGTTGTTACTTAAAAGCAAGCTGGTTATAAATTTGAAACCAATAGGTAAAATGCATAAAATCTTTAATTTGTATTCTCATTCCTAACAGTATAACATTCAGGCTTATCCAACAACAGTGGTTTTCAACCAGTCCAATGTTCATGAATATGAAGGACATCACTCTGCTGAACAGATCTTGGAATTCATAGAGGTATTTTAAATTAATTTATAGTATTGTAAATTACAGAGGTAAATTATTTTTAAATGGTTTTTGGTTTTATCTTATTTTTTATTATTTCCCCAGTGAAATTTTTTGTTAGTATTACCCTATCATGGTAGACTGAAGCTTTATTAAAACAGCATTTGGAGCAAGTGAGCTTTTAGGAAGGTTGAGCAGTATCTCCAATCAGACTGTCAGGAAAATAGAATAATAGGCTTTCCATTAATAATTAAAGGATCATTTCCAAACCAATCATTGATTCTGGAACAGAACTATATGGCCTGTGTAGACATCTGGACACCTCTTAGAACTTTTTGTCCCATCTACTGTCGCCTTAAATAAAGTTGCTTCTGTTCCCTACCTAAGATGATTTTAATGATACATAGAAATAAGAAAAGAATATACCTTGATTTAAGAAGGTTGATGGGCAAAGCCCAAATTAACAAGGAATAATTTCTTCCTTTTTAAAGTAATTCACTACAGGTTATCTTTTAAACATCCAGAAGTATCTTTTGATTATTCAGAAATAGGAACTTTTCTAAGCGACAACAATTTGCCAAGACTATGGGAACAACTTTTTATACCTGTTATAATGAAAGTTATATTCTCTTTAGGATCTTATGAATCCTTCAGTGATCTCCCTGACACCCACCACTTTCAATGAACTAGTTAAACAGAGAAAACATCACGAAGTCTGGATGGTTGATTTCTATTCTCCATGGTGTCATCCATGTCAAGTCCTAATGCCAGAATGGAAAAAAATGGCCCGGGTATAGTAGTTTCTTTTAAATCTTAAAATGTAGCATGAATCTATTTTGAAACTGAGATGAACCCACCTCTAGATTATTGCTTGGTACATATCTGACCAAATTTCTGCCCAAGTCAACCCAAAAATCCCTTTATTTTCTATACAAATAGTGTTATAAATTATGAAAGATTGGAAAAAAGTTACGTAGAGAATGGAAAATGAAATCGCTGTTTTATATTTCTAAGAAAAAGTGAACAAACCAAAGAGTTAAAAGTGATTTCTAGTACCTTAACATTTAAGATAATGCAATTTTGTGTCCTTTTCAGTAAAATTTTAAAATTTAGGCATGATTCAATGTGCTTCACTGCAGGTCTCTATTTGAAAAATAACTTTGAAATACCATTGCAGAGACCTTCATTAGTTCCTTGTTTCTAACACTAAATTTTAGAGATAACCTAATTTTCCCCCCACATAGAACATGAATGAAAGCTGTTGTTCAATCTGTAATAATTGTAGTAAGGTCTTAACTCCAACTACAATTTCAGTTCATTACTATAAGCGTTCTATTATGTTTTAAACCCTTAATTTGGTGAAAATCACTGATAAAAAGCATCTCACAGTGATAATTTCTCTATTGTAAACATAAATAGTTATGGAGGTAATTTTATTCTAATCACTTTGATCTATTTATCTCCTCTTTTTCTCTTTTATAGACATTAACTGGACTGATCAATGTGGGCAGTATAGACTGCCAACAGTATCATTCTTTTTGTGCCCAAGAAAATGTTCGGAGATACCCTGAGATAAGATTTTTCCCCCCAAAATCAAATAAAGCTTACCAGTATCAGTAAGTGTTGCCTGAAATTTAAAGACATTTATTATAACCATTTATTTAAACAGTTAAAATTTAAAAGTTATCTTAGGGGTTCCTGGCTGGTTCAGTCAGAAGAGCATGTGACTCTTGATCTTAGGGTCATGAGTGTGAGCCCCACGTTGGCTGTAGAGATAACTTAAATAAATACATAAGCTTGTCTTAAAAAGTTATCTTAACTAAATAAAAGTTAACCCAACAAATATTTTTTGGGAGCCCACCATGTTTTAAGATCATGTGCTAATGAGAACCTCTGAAGATGAAAAAAGAATGATCCCAATATTCATGAAGCTGGCATGCTAGTATAGAAGAAGAGAAAGAGGAAGTACATTTAGTAAGTCAGTATTTGGTTTCAGGTACTCTACTAGATCCTTTGCTCATGTTATTCACACTAGTCCTCACATATACCCTGAGAAATAAGAATTATTGCCCTTCCTCCTATACAGATAAGTAAACTGATTAACAGACCTTACGTCACACAGCTGCTAAGGTTTGTAATTGAGGATTCAGCCCAGTCTGTCATTGCCCATCCTGTTTCTGTAACACCACACGGCATTTGAGGTAATAAACTCAAGTGCAAGGCAGAATATAAGGAATATTATTTAAAAGATAAAACTTGAGCCATGGATTGCAAAGGAGGAAAGGATTACAGCTATGAGAGGAAATCATGAAAGACTGCGTTTATGAAGTGGCTTTTGAAATGCGTCTTAAAAAGTACTTAGGAATTTGACGGACATAATGACCAGAGTAAAGGTTCTGAAACTGAAGTCTTAGACATTTGGATTGTTACCATTCCCATGCGTCTATAGGAGATGTCCAGCGGGCAGCTAGACATTCAGGGCTGTCTTGAGCACACACAAAAAAAACATCGAGACTAGAGAAAAATATATTTGGGAAGCCATATAAGCAGCATTTATAGCTAGGTGTATCTGAGAAGGGAAATGGTATGTAGTCAACAAGTTAAACTTTCAATTGCTGTAGAGAGATGGTTTTCTGAACATATCCAATAATAGAAAATAGTACTTAAAACTTACTTATTTTTTTCTTATTTCAGTAGTTACAATGGTTGGAATAGAGATGCTTATTCCCTGAGAATTTGGGGTCTAGGGTGAGTAATCAAAATATGCATCATTGTATAAAATAGATTCAGTGCTATTTACCTTCCTCTTATGTCTGTAGTTACAGACTATAGCATTTTAAATTACTTAGTAAAGAATTACAATTTACCAAGATAACTCTGAATTCAGTCATTTTTAACCTAGAAACTTCAATATTATATTTTAGATGTTTGCTTTGGTTTCATATAATGAAAAATAATTTTGATCCCTTGCCACAGATTTTTACCTCAAGCATCCATAGATCTAACACCTCAGACTTTCAATGAAAAAGTTGTACAAGGGAAGAATCATTGGGTGGTTGATTTCTATGCTCCTTGGTGTGGACCTTGCCAAAATTTTGCTCCAGAGTTTGAGCTCTTGGCTAGGGTAAGTCTTGTCTGTCTACTTAGATAAGTTGTAGTCATATGCATGTTTTAATAATTAGATAAAATAACAGTTATTTAGGGCACCTGGGTGGCTCAGTCAATTGAGCATCTGCCTTTGGCTCAGGTCATGATTCCTGGGTCCTAGGATTGAGCCCCATGTCCGGTTCTCTGCTCAGTGGGAAACCTGCTTCTCCCTCTCCCTCTGCCTGCCACCCCCCCTGCTTGTACTCTCTCTCTGTGTCAAAGAAATAAATAAAATCTTTAAAAAAATAAGTTATTTCAAAATTAGATAAAATGATTAGATATAATTATATTTTAAATATAATTCTCTTAAAAGTTTTCTGTGAATTTTTTAAAACTCCATTTCATTTCTATGACTATAGTCCTTGCACATTTCTTCCTTCTTTATTAATGCTGTTAGCTGAAATCTCTGTCTTGATTGAGGACTCATCTACCTAACCAGAACAGCCAGACACCTCACTTCTTCTGCTTGTTCCCTTTTTCTTTCCTTTACTCATCTGATGGCCTGGCAAGCGGCAATCCTATCAGTTCTGTCTCCTACATGCCTTTCCAGTCTGTCATCTCCTCTCCATCTGCTCTGCTAGCCTCTCTGTTCAAGCCGTCATCATCTCATCTAGACATGTGTGCCTTTGAACTAGTCTCATGTTGCCAGTCTGCCTTCTTCAGTTCTGCCCTGATCATCTTTCTGAAATACTCCTTTCTCAGGCTTCCTGTGAACAAGTTTCTGGACTTGCATCCTTGGTTGCAGGTCTGGGATGGGACCCTTCATACCTCTTCAGCTTTCTCTCTGTCCCCACCCCACACCTTACCATTCAGGCACGACAAAGTACTCCAGGTTTGTTGAACAAGTATGTGCTGTTCCCTCTCTCTAAAAGGAGAGGCATCTGGATCTTTTTCTCCTTATCCTACAAAACCCAGCTTCAGTTGGCACTTCTGTGTTCACTGTCCTTCTCATTCAGTTCACTTTGATATCTTGTACTCCATTGGTGTACTTATACGATGGATGTTAAATATTTATTTAGTTACCTGTCTCCTTCATAAGACTGAACTTCTTGAGGGCAAGTTTTACAGGTCTTGTCCAACTCAGTAAATGCTTATAAAACTTAACTGAATGCATAAGCTGAATGCAATCTGAGTTTTTGTTGTTTCTGTCACCATCATCCTGCTCTTTAGCTAATCCAGAGTGTTAGCTTCCCTTGCTTCAAGGAGCTTTGCCATGGGCTATAAAACACTCATTAGAATGAGAAAGCTCCAGTTTCACCAGCCTAAAACAAAAGCTAAAATCCCAAGCCATCGAGATTTCTTTAGCAAAGGGATTTCAGAGCTCCCTGGAGTCATAAAAGATTATTTTAATTACTGGATTGTCCTTCAAGTAAAAGGTTATTCATTTTCCACTTACTAGATCTTCTTCTCTTATGCTTCCTTCTTCTCTAGTAATTCTAACAAAATGTTTTTACTCCCTTTGTATTTAGCTTATTTTGTAATGCAGCCATATCTTGAATATAGCAGAAAGTTACTCAATATCAAAAAGATCATACCTTGAAGAGCAAGTCCGGGGTCTGATAGAGAGGGACTGGAGGCTATAGGTGTAGTTGTCAGCCTTCCACAAAACGAAGAAGAATAGTTGCTACCTCAGCCTGTGAGCCAGAGAAAGGAAGAAGGTGGGTGAGGACAGAATCTGAGGTGTTTGTGGTGTGACGGACAAGGTGTGGGTACCAGGAAGGAGTTTTTTTTGATAAGATGAAGAGTTTATTTGCTCTTGGAGAGGTGGTTCTGCGTAAATAGGTGTTATAAAGAGCCAGTAAAAAGTTGGAAGCGATCTTATTAGGATGGAAAAGATGAAAGCTTAAGTCTTTAAAATTATAAGATTTGAAAATATTTGTATCATGTTGCTTTGTGGTTGCCAAAATAGTTTATGCCACAGAGAATGGCAAACCATATTTCTTTCTTTTCAGATGATTAAAGGAAAAGTGAAAGCTGGAAAAGTAGACTGTCAGGCTTATGCTCAAACATGCCAGAAAGCTGGTATCAGAGCCTACCCAACTGTTAAATTTTTTCCCTACGAAAGAGCAAAGGTACGTACAAGGCCTTCCTATGTGTGCCTTTCCTTTAGCAGACCAAGTTGAAAAGGTTATTAGTCTGAATGTTTTTATTAGCTTTTTCTCCCTTTGTCATTTTTTATTTTATTTCTGTATGTAAAAACTTCAATAATATGCATCAAGTGATTTTAAAGGGTTTTTCTCTCTCAGAGTTTATATGATCCACTGCCTTAAAATTTTTATACTCCTGAATTACAGAAACTACTGAAGGAGACATACCAGAATATTAGTAGTTTTCTGTGAGTGGAGAATTTAAGGTAATTATTTTCTATGAAGTTCTGTATTTCCTACTTTTAGAAAAATAACTTATATTACCTTTTTAATTTTTTCCAGGGAAGAAAAAAAATTAAAATACTATCGTAATAGTTTTGAAATAGACCAGTACCAGAACATTTATCTTGAGAAATATTTATTAGTAATTTAGACTACAAAATAAAAGATAGGGTTCCTTGGTTTGGTTATAACTCCCTTCTCTAGGCCACTGTGTTTTTTTTCCCCCCAAAAGAAAACTAGACATCTACTGATGGGTTTTAAAATTCAGGTGATAACCCCTATGGTCATTTATATAAATGCGTGTATCTTTCAACCAGTATAATTGCTAACTGAAAGTACTCATGACTTCTGCTATCTTCCTGAGTAAAAGCATGACATTGTTGACAATAGAACTAATTAAATAAGGATTTGCCATGTATTCATGTTTTCTGGTAAAACATTTGAAATAAGTCATTTCAAATATTTTTATACTTTTTGAGAAAGAACATCAGCTTAAGATCTCATGTTATTTATTAGAAATTATATTTTGGAGTTAAATAATGAAATTGGATGATGAATTTCAGAAGTCTAGTATTGTCATCTAGATTTTTCAGTGAAGGATTTTGATTTGTCAAAGAGGTTAATTCTGTCTTAAGAACAGCCTGGGGTAAGCAGAACTCAGAGTAAAAGGAGCTTATATACCAGTACCTGAATCTTCATTCCTTTGGAATCATTGACTCTACTTTGATTCTTAGAACAGCTGAGAAATGGGTGACATAGATAGGGGTCTTCACTCAGAATGATGTTAGGTAAGTATCAGTATAATGAGCAGTCACAGAGTTAATCAGGCCATAAAAGGAGCTGTTTGAAAAGATGATGTTACCATGTGTTTAGAGAAGCCCAGAAGACATTAGGACTCCAAATATCCCTGCCCAAACCAAGAGACAGGGGTAGAAGACCAGGCCAGATTTGAAAACCAAAGCAGAACAATGATTGTGGTAAACAGCAGTACAAGTACAAATCAGGTGGGCAGTAACACACAAAAACAAGATCCTAACATATAGTGTGGAGTTCCCACCAGGAAGAAGGAAATAAATGACTCACGATCCAAGATAAACAAGCCTGATATATTGACCTGCCCCCTTCCCTGCTTTTCAACCACCTTCCTGCTGTGAGCAGATGAGAACCAGGAGACATACGTTACTTTCCAGTGTTGTTGTTGATCAAGATTTCAACTGTGCCTGTGATTTGTATTAGATTAGAACAACTTGGGTCCTTTTCTTTACAATTTAGTTATTTTAAGGCAACTAGAGTTAGCAATACATTTTTTCCAAGGAATTGTTTTACATGTTCCCATAACAGTATTGTATTTAAGTAAATTATGAGTTCACTGCTTTTGCTATTTCCTTGAAAAAATTTGAGTTTCAAACATTTAGAACTTTTAAGGAATAATCAAATTTCTTATATAGAAATGTCATGTTTTGATTAGATACCTAAAGATTATAAGAGGATTGTTTTTAATTTTAGAGAAGTATTTGGGGAGAGCAAATAGATGCCAGAGATGCAAAAGAGATTGCTACCTTAATATATGAAAAATTGAAAAATCTCCAAAATCATGGAAAGAGAGATAAGGTAAGGACTAAATCTAGAGCTGACTTTGGCTCTAGATTTATATTTATATTATCTATTCTTACTGTACATTATATCTGTCAATAAACAGGTACAATGGAAGCTCCAAAGAATAGCAAAGTTGAAGTTTCTTAATTTGGAAAATAGAACAATCCGAGTGTAGCCTGTATACACTGATAAGCTTAGATATTTGGACAAGTAAAACCATTTAGCTCAAAATTGTAAACTATGGCCATAAATTATTTAAATTTTGTTCAAGTATAAATAAAGCATTGACTTGTTGGGAACAAATATACTGGAGCCTCATAAAATATTTTGTATAGCAAATTCTCTTCTGGTAGAGTCAGGATATATTGGAACCATATTCATCCTTGCCCCTCCTTGAATTTTTATTTCTCAAGAGGCAGTGCAACCCCTTTGCTATTCTGTGAAAGAACTGTTTTTTTCCCCCTTTTTTAAATCATTGTCATTCTAGGACTTACTAACCAACAGACCAAAGAGTACTGGAGTGCTTTCTGAGTGGAATTTAATAAAACCACATATGAGGTTTTTTGGATTCTTTCCCTATAACGAAAGAAGGGCAAAAAAGAACACAGTTTCTGGAAAGGGCTAGAGCTGTCTGGCTTTATAGAACCATATTAGAACTGCAGACTCCAATGTAGAATCCTTACATCCTGTAGTGAGAGTTATAAATCTCTATTTTCTTGGGTTTACAAAAATATTTTTTCTGATGTTTTGACTATGTTAGCTTCCTCAAGAGGTTTTAAAGTGTGTCTCTTACCTCAAGTTAAACATTTGAGGTAGAAAGTGTTATTAGTCATAAACCAGAATATCATAATTGAAATTAAGTTAAAAAACATACCAATGTGACTAAATGTAATTAGTAGTATCTGCATGGACAGGTAAGAACTAAAAGATAGCCTTTTCCTTTCCATTGTTACAGTTAGGCAAGGTATATTTCATATTAATGGTGATCCATTAATTATTTTTTAAAAGGTAAAATACTGTAATCAACATTTTAATAAAAATTCATACTTTTTCAATCACTTTTACATTATTGTAGGATGAACTTTAATGATGGTTGAAGATGGAGAAAAGGAATTCTAACAAATGACATCAGAAGACATCTTTTTAGGATGTTACTACGTTCTTGGTGGGAGTAAATGAACATTATCTTGGACTTGTAATTGCACTGTCTGAATTCTGTACAACACTGGTATAAATGAAGGGTCTGCAAGCTTTTTCTGTAAAAGGCCAGCTCGTAAAGATTTTAGGCTTTGTAGACCATAAACAGTTGTCACATAATTCTGTTTTTGTTTTGTTTACAACCCTTTAAAAAATGCAAAAACAATTCTTAGCTCAGGGCCATACACAAACAGGCCACAAGCCACATTCAATTCCTGGGCCATAGATTACTGACCCCTGGAAATGATCTTGTTAAGACTGGCTGGCTCAAACATGATCCTGCTCTATTATGTACATACATGTCTAAGTTGTACAAAACTGGACTCTATTCCTTAAAGTTTTGTGGCTGGCCTGAAAAGAAATAACTTGGTTTTAGTCACCTGTTCGAAATATTGGATGAAATGGATTCTGTTTCATTTAAAAAACACACTCAAGTTGTGGCAAACATACCCTATCTTAATGCTGTATTATAGTGAAGCGATTTTTCATTTTCTTTCTAAAGGTTGAACTGATTTTAATTTTTCACAATTGAGAAAAATTTTTGTAACAATAAATAAACCCAGTAGATTTCTACAGCATCTAGAAATACCTGAGGAAAACAATATTTGTAGCTATTAACTGGGCACTGTAGAGTATCCCAAATATATCAAGTATTTAGAGTTCTGTATTTTAAACATATGTGTTCATTTATTTTCTGAATTGCTTTTTTTAAAGTTTTACCCTGTGATCGTAATTGACTTTTGAAGTACTGTTCTAATATTTATGGTTTTGCCTTCTGGACTTTGTTTTGATACAGATCCTTTATTTACATTTGCCTTCTCCCTTACCCCCCACCCCCCATAGCTGTGGTTTTTCACTAGTCTGATTTCTTCATTATTCAAATAGGAAAAGTAACTTTGCAGTTTTGTTTCACTATAGCTCATAATGACACTGCAGTTATTCCATTAGTTTGCTGTTGAATGCTACCATTTTCAGACAAATACTGGCATAACTGAACTTTTTATAAGAAAATCAAGTATATAAATCTAAGGATGGGATCTTTTCATTTCTAAGTTGTTCAGACTAAAAGAATCCAAAATCTTCCTTGCATCTAAACATGTCAACGTGCAGTTGTTTAGTTACAGTTCAGAGTGTATGGAATGGTAAAAACTCCAATTGATCAAAAGAGGTCAGCAAATTAAAAAGAAAAGTTTTCCCAAAAACTTACTAGGATTATGCTTTATTATACTGGAAGTTTTATTTTTTTAATGTAACTTTATGTCCTTCCCAATATTTACTCATAATTATTTTATCACTGCAGTATCTACAAAGACAAATTTTATTTTCAAGTCTAACCTTAATTCATATTCTCCCATTTTGCTTCAGTTGAATCCTTTCAGTCCTACTACCCTTGGATTCCAGTTCACTTATGTGGGTGGTTACAGACCAATTGCCATTTCTAACTTTAATACCACCTTTTTGAAATACGATTAGTAATGGCAAGTGCCTTTCATGTGTTAAATTTTCACGGCCTAGAAATCTCAAAATTGGCTTTCCACAATAATTCCAAGATGGAAGATCTAAAGAAGTCTTGGTAACTGTTTATTGAATTAATGTACCAATTATGCAGATACCACTGTGCTGGACACTGAAGCATATGTAGAAGGAATCCAAGGAATGGTTCCTGTCTCCCAAGTGTCTGTAATTCACAGTTCTGACACTGAACCCATAAATATGTTTATAGGTACCTGCCTGTACTACTACCTAGAAATACAATTCCAAACCTATTGAGAAACACTTAAGGCAGTAAAAAAAAAAGAGTAAACATTATATATCCCGTAACTTGGTCTAAGTATGTGCCTGTGGAATTGGCTCTAAAGCCAGGGCTAGTGGGAGTTCTATTAAATAATATATTTATCCTGCAGTACCCAGCTGGAGGCTATTTTCTGCAAAAATAACTGTCATTGATTATCTCAAGAGCAGCGGGCAGAATTAAAGGGTTTAACAGCCATGTAAGTGCAGTAGAGCACCTCTGAAGAGTGCCAGGTAAAACGTGCCATTTCTCTCAGCAACACCATTTTTGTGTGCAACTGCCCTTGGGGAACAGAGCACCATTTCTAGCAGACCAGAGAGTATTCTATCAGGCAACTGTATTTGAAAATTAGATATTTAAATATGTGGCTATATAAAACAATTTGGAGTTTGTGTTTTTGATATTAATGATGCTTACCCTATTCCATTTTCCCAAATTTTATTTAAGATTTTTTATATCTTTTTTACTTAAGGTATATGATTAAGATAAAGGATAATGAAATTATTTTTATATTGTAAAAGTTTTCTTTAAATTTGTGCTTTGTTTTCTAACAGTATTCAAAGCAGGAATTTTCTTAAGTACAGTTATCAGAATTGCTGTGTTGTTGCCTATGGGACACATTTACAAAGATACTTAGAATATGAAAAGCTTTAATGAGGCAATATTTTTCAGCCCTTTAAGACAGATTTTTTTGTATAATTAGGCCATAGGTCTACCAAACTCAGATAAATGTCTTAAATTAGACATATTCAGTCCACTGTGACTATTAAATAGTACAAGGTTAAGTTAACAAAATGTATTTTAAATTTCCTGTAATGATTCGTATAATTGATCCTGAGGATGAGAAGAAAATAATCTTTCTAGTAGTATGCTACTTTACACATAAACTAAAACTTTTAAATACACCTAAATTCCTCTGATGAATAGCTTATTGTCAGTAAGAGTAATGACAATTTAGGTTAGCCTCCAGGTTAAGTAGAAATGTATTACTGACTGTACAGCCAAGTTTAGTGATTCACCACTTGAGTCTTTTTTATATTTAACACTAAATTTGCACTTAGATTCTTATACTGTCACCCAATCCCCTTGTTAGCAGTTGGATCTATTTTGTGAGAGGTGACTAACCCAAATTATGGCTGCAGGCTAATGCCAGACTAACCAATATGATATCTTGATCAGTTGGTTACACTGGTCACTTGAATGCATTCCTTAGTACCTGCTGTCCTGTTAAAAAAGATGCAGGTCAAAACCTATTCAGAAAGATCTGTGCTAAGGTGCACAAAAAAGTGTTCCATACTAATTAACTACTGATAGAGAACTCTTTATTAAATAACTGCTATTCTAAACATTTTAATATTTTACATCCTCAAATTAAAAAAAAGGAATTGGTTCCAGTAGAAGATGGTGAGAAAAGAGGCTCCTGAACTTAGCTCCTCCCATGGACACACTGAATTCACAGCTGTGTACAAAACAATTCCTTCTAAAAGAAATCCAGACACTAGCCAAGTGACTCCTAGCCATCAGGTTAATGAGAGAAAAACCCACATTAGAGTGGGCAGAAGCTATGACACGATCTCCTCATACACCCCATCCCCCAGCACAATGCCACAACGAGGGAACTCACAACTGCCAGCCAAGAATATGCAGCAAAATTGTCCTTCAGAATTAAAAAGATTAGCAAAAGCTAAAGGAATTTATCACCACTAGACAAGACTTAACAAGGGATTTAAAGGGACTTCTTCAAGCTGAAATGAAAGGGCATTAATTAGTAAATACAAAAATATGAAAGTATCAATCTCACTGGCCAAAGTAAATATATACTTAAATGTGATGCTGGTGGGCCCATCATTTATAAATCTATACTAAAGATTTAATATCATATCAGATACACAAAAGGAGAGTAAAGCGGTGAAGGTTTTATAGGAGAGTAAAGTTAAATTGTTAGCATAAATCGACTGATGGATTTAAAGATGTTCTATGTAAGACTCATGGTAACCACACAGCAAAACTTATAGTAGATGCACAAAAGTTAAAGAGAGTTGGGGCGCCTGGGTGGCTCAGTTAAGCATCTACCTTCAGCTCGGGTTGTGAGCAGATTTCTAAAAGTTCCAATTTTGTGCTCAGCTGCTCTAACACTTGCCAGAAGCAGCAAAGGAACTACCCAGAAGAATGGCCCAAACCCCTGCGAACACTACAATTCCTGACCCAGAAGTTTTCTGAGGCCTTGGATCGAGTGGTTGGTGGTGACAGGTCTCGTTTCATGAACAGACGAGCACACCTAGTTAAAATGCACGACATTCAGGCCAAGGACCAAACACTACCTGTGACAGGCAAAGAGAGCCTCTGCAGATGACTGACCTGAAGGATAAAGTGGCCAGGGAACAACAGCAAAGCACATAGAGCATACACTGGAGATAATCCCAAAAGCAGAACCTGGAGAACAAAGGACACTACAGGACCTATTCTTCATAAAGACATTATCCTCAAGAACAGGAGACATGGCTGACTTACATTACACAGATAAACAGGCACAGAGACTTAGACAAAATGAGAACACACAGGAATTTTTCCCAAATGAAAGAACAGCCTGGAGATCTAAGTGAAACAGATACAAGTAATGTACCTGATGGAAAATTTAAAGCAATGATCATAAAGATAATATCCAGATTTGGTAAAAGAGTGGAGAACATGAGTGAGACCATTAACACACAAGAGATAAGGAATAATAGAACAGAGATAAAGGGCTCAATAAACAAAATGAGACATATGTTTAGTGGAAAGAACAGGCTGGAAGAAGCAGAAGAATGAATTAATGACCTAGAAGACAAAGTAACGGAAAGTAATTAAGCTGAACCAGAGAGGAAAATTAGGCAAAACAAGAATATACAGAGGGAACTCAGTGACTCCATCAAATGTAGGGTTGTAGGAATTCCAGAAGGAGAGAAAAGGGGGCAGATAATTTATTTGAAGAAATAATAGCTGAAAACTTCCCTAATCTGGGGAAGGAAATAGATATCCAGATCCAAGAGGCACAGAGAACCCCCAACAAAATCAACAAAAGTAGAGCCACACCAAGACATACTGTAATTAAAATGGCAAAATATAGTGATAAAAATATTGAAGTCAGCAAGACAAAGGAAGACTGTTACATACAAAGGAAACCCCATAAGGCTTATCACCAGATTTTTCAGCAGAAACTTTGCAAGCCAGAAGGGAGTGGCATGGTATATTCAAAGTGCTGATTGAGGAAAACCTGCAGCCAAGAATACTTATTCCAGCAAGGCTATTGTTAAGAGATCCCCAAACAAAAAGGAGTTTGTGGCCACTAAACCAGTCCTGGAATATTAAAGGGAACTCTTTGAGTGGAAAGAGCAGACCAAAAATCACAGCATGAAGGTAGGAAACACAAAAGAGTAAAAATATTTCTGTAAAAAATCAGTCAAGGAACTCAAAAGGATGTAAAATACGACACCATATACCTAAACCATGGGGAGGAGAAGAGTAAAGAATGGGTTCCAATTTAAACAACCATCAACTTAATACAGACTGCTCTATGCAGAAGAGGTTTTATATAAACCTATGGTAACTATATATCAAAAGCCATTAAGTAGATGGGCAGAGCAAGAGGGCAGAGGAGTAGGAGACCTGGATTTCATCTGGTCCCAGGAATTCAGCTGGATAGGGATCAAACTATTCTGAACACCTACAAACTCAACAGGAGATCCAAGAAAAGAATAGCAACAACTCTGAACACAAAAGAGACCACTTTCTGGAAGGTAGGGCGTGCGGAGAAGTGAATCCAAGGCGATATTTGGGAGGATAGACGGCAGAGGAGGAGGCCTCCGTTGGCCGCTTCTGGCAAGTGTTAGAGCAGCTCAGCACAAAATCGGAACTTTTAGAAGTCTGTTCTGCTGAGGGATGGTGCTCCAGTGGCTAAGCGGGGGGCTGGAACCCTCGCTGGGACAGTGTGGTCTCAGGACCCTTGGGGTCACAAAAAGACCGGGGGTGCCTGAGTGCACAGAGCTCCCAGGGATCAGAGCGGGGAAGCCAGCTGCAGAGTTGGAGCCGAGGCACGGGCTCTCAGCTCACGGTTGCCATAAACTGTGATCCGTGGCACAGGCCACTGCTCTTCCAGCAGGGACCCAACAAGTGGCAGATCCGGGAAGACTCCCCTTCCTCCCCCCGGAGGAGCGGCAGCAGGGATCTGCTGGGTTTGGAGACTCCACACCGAGTCGGGTGCCAGAGATAGAAACGCTCGTTCACAGGCTGGGTGAGTACAGAGTGCGGCCAGAGACCAGGGAGATGGGAGTGACTGAGTGCTTTTCTCTGGGGGCGCACTGAGGAGCGGGGCCCCGAGTTCTCAGCTCCTCCAGGACGGAGATTGGGAGGCCGCCATTTTCACTCTGGTCCTCCAAAGCTGTACAGAAAGCTTGCAGGGAACAAAAGCTCCCGAGAGCAAACCCAAGCAGATTACTTAGCCCAGACCCGGCAAGGGCGGGGCAATTCCACCTCTGGCAAAGACATTTGGGAACCACGGCAACAGGCCCCTCCCCAGAAAATCAGCAAGAACAGCCAGCCAAGACCAAGTTTACTGATCAATGACAACGGCAGAACTCCAGCGAGAGAGGAATACTGCACATAGAATTCATGGTTTCTTTACCATGATTCTTTAGTCTTTCAAAGTTAATTTTTTTTAACTGTCTTTTTTTTTTAATTTTTCTTTTTCCCTTTTTCAACCAACATCTTATCAATCCCTTTTTTAAAAAATCTTTTTTTTTCATTTTTAGAGTCATAGTCTATCCCTTCATAGTAGCTACCCTTATTTTTGGTGTGTGTGTGTGTGTGTGTGTGTGTGTGTGTATAGGTTGTTCTCTCTTTTAAATTTTGAGATACAGTTTCTTCTAACACATCAAAATATACCCTAAATCTCTAGTGTATGGCACACTGCACACTGCTATTCTCCTCTGGACAAAATGACAAGACGGAAGAAATCACCTCAACAAAAAGAACAAGAGGCAGTACCAACTGCCAGGGACCTAATCGATATGGACATTAGTACAATCTTGGAACTAGAGTTCAGGATGATGATTTTAAACATACTAGCTGGGCTTGAAAAAAGTATGGAAATTATTAGAGAAACGCTTTCTGGAGAAATAAAAGAACTAAAATCTAACCAAGTCGAAATCAAAAAGACTATTAATGAGGTGCAATCAAAAATGGAGGCTCTAACTGCTAGGATAAATGAGGCACAAGAGAGAATTAGTGATATAGAAGACCAAATGATGGAAAATAAAGAAGCTGAGAAAAAGAGAGATAACTACTGGATCACGAGGGCAGAATTCGAGAGATAAGTGATACCATAAGACGAAACAACATTAGAATAATTGGGATCCCAGAAAAGGAAGAAAAAGAGAGGGGCAGAAGGTATATTGGAGCAAATTATAGCAGAGAACTTCCCTAACTTGGGGAAGGAAACAGGCATCAAAATCCAGGAGGC